TCCACATACATGGCAGGGTCCGGCCACCTGCAATACAGAGTGTGGGGTGGAAAGAGACCATTGTGCACCCGCAGCTTTCTCTGTTAGTCTTTCTGGGTGGTTGCAGTAGTGCACTGATGGGTCCAAAGAGTGCCTCGGTGCTTCTGGGACTTGGACAAGGCGTCTAAAACTGCAACACTTTGGAATGACTGGAGAGGGTGAAGGTTGCACTTAGTGGCTTTGTCTTCCGGTCAAGTGTCTCCAGTTTCAAAAGTGCAAAAACAATTTGCCTATGATAAGCTGATCACCACATGAGTGAGTCACCGGAGGACTGTCTGCATCTCCGCTGGGATAATGTGTGTTATTTCATGGGAGTTGCGCAGGAAGCCCAACCCTGTGAACAGCAAACATTTCAGTATTTAGTTTTAGTATTTAGTATTCTAAATAGCAAATGGGAAGGCAGGCCTTCTGGCCTTGAACCACATTGGGGAACGAGAAGTTAGACAAGTCTATAGGGTACCATGTTGGGCATAGTGATTGGTTGACTCCTGCCCACTTCAGGAATGGTGAATTTATTCAAAATTGCTAGGAGTGAAGCGCAACAGGCCTAGCATTTGAATGCACCAATTGCAGACTCTGGGAGGGAGGAAAGGAACAGGGCGTTGGGCTTTCTGTGGCTTTAGGGCCTTTACTTCCACCAAGACTGGGCTATTGGGTGTATGTATGCCGCATGTGGCACTGTGGGTTAAACCACAGAGCCTAAGACTTGCCGATCAGAAGGTCAGCGGTTCGAATCCCCACAATGGGGTGAGCTCCTGTTGCTCGGTCCCTGCTCCTGCCAACCTAACAGTTCGAAAGCACGTCAAAGTGCAAGTAGATAAATAGGTACCGCTCCAGCGGGAAGGTAAACAGCGTTTCCGTGCGCTGCTCTGGTTCGCCAGAAAGTGGCTTAGTCATGCTGGCCCCATGACCTGGAAGCTGTACTCCGGTTCTCTCGGCCAATAAAGCGAGATGAGCGCCGCAACCCCAGAGTCTGCCACGACTGGACCTAATGGACAGGGGTCCCTTTACCTTTACCTTTATGCCGCATGGGAAGGCTGCTTAAAATTTCCCAGGTTCCTCTTGCAAGCATTAATTCACTTTCCCAGCTTACACCACAAGGATACAGACCAGAAACTGATTCCCCTAACAGCCCTGCAACGTGGGAGAGTAGTCACGTGAGTCTGGCATCTGATAGGGAAATATGGGGCACTTTTTTGTTTGCAGATCCACCAAGAAATGTCAGGGATCTGCAGGGAGCAGGGCAGTTTGATACACGAGAACTGACTGCAGACCAGACCAAGAGGCTACTCTGCCCAGCGCTCTTGTCTCCAGCAGCAACCAAATGCCCCAGCAATGCCCAGATGCTGGCATCTTTTGTGTAAAATTCCTGTCTAAGAGCCATGCGGAAAGGAAGGGCTGTAAATCAGTTTTAAGCGTCTCTTAAGCAGGAGCTAATTTCTGCCGTTAGTACTCCATCATTGATAATTGAGTTATGTGGCTGTGGAAAGGCATACAAGGAGGTTCTCTGACCACAGTTCAGCTGACAACTAGTAATGCAGGTCTAACAATAGATGTAATGTGCTGCTTTTTTAAGCACTGCCATGGTAGCTAACTCTGCAACTGTGCGCATCGCAATTTGTGCCTGTAAACCAGGGGTCAGCAAATGTTTTTAGCAGGGGGCCAGTCCACTGTCCCTTGGACCTTGTGGGGGGCCGGACTATATTTTGAAAATAATAATAATTGAATGAATTCTTATGCCCCACAAATTATCCAGAAATGCATTTTAAATAAAAGCACACATTCTACTCATGTAAAAACACACTGATTCCTGGACCGTCCGCAGGCCAGATTTAGAAGGCGATTGGGCCGGATTTGGCCCCCGGGCCCTAGTTTTTCTACCCATGCTGTAAACAATTCAAGTACATGCAGACCTTGTGCTTCCCCTTTAATTCATGGCTTTAAGTGGCTGCACTTAAAGTGGCTGATTTTTTTATTCTTCCAACAGCTATTACTATTATTTGGTGGTCACTTTTATGTGAAAGCCTTCTTCAGTGTTCAGCATTTGGCGGGGGGGGGGGGATGGGGACCAACCCCATAGCTTAACCTTTTAAACTCAGGATAAAGCACATGTCTGAACTGTACTGTTTTCTCATGAGCTGCCAAAAGAGAGATTTCTATCTTACAGAAGCTTCAGGGTAGAAATAGATTCACTGAACTTCGAGCCCATTTTCCTTATGACCTAGAGGAAGAAAAGGAACAGCATATAAGGGGAAGAGAGGGTGCTCATTTCATTTTAGTTTTTGTATAAAAGCTCCCGAATGTAGCACAGGCGATCGGGTCTCTCTCTCTGGAGCATGGTATTCAAAGGAGTAGTGCTGCCATTTAGGAAACAAAAAGAGTCAATCAAACAACAAAGGATAAAAATGATCAAATGGTTAGCCAGAGGCTAAAATAAATGCATGAGAAAGAGTGACACATTGTATATTAGCAAGAAATCTGAGCTGGAAATTAGTTGAAGGTTGGGGTTTTTGTGTGATTTAACCAATGTGACTTTTAAAAAACAATTGTGAAAGAGATAAATGCCTGATCTCTCAATTCCAGATGTGCAAAATGGGCATGAGAGAAATTTTAAGTTTCGATACAGAAGAAGTTTAAATTTCTTTGCAAGAGATTTTTTTTTAAAAAAAAGGAAAAGGGGAAAAAATCTCCTTTATATTCATTGGCACCTATTGGTTACCATCTGAAAGTACAGCATCGTTATTACTGTCCTGCAGTCATGCTGGTGGTTTTCAAATTACATGACCTTATAACACTCCATCAAATTTCCTTTTAAAAATGGAATAAAATTGGAGACACCAAATAAAATGTCTCCCCATGCCTTAGTCAACAGGGAAGGCAAGCGTCGATTGGAAAAACCTGAGTATCTCAATACAAAGAAGTGAATGTTTCCTTATTTAGTGACCTCACAACTGTTTTTAATTTAACCTTGCTGTAGGTACATGCCACTCTGGATTAATGCAATTCACTTTTCTTTATGGAGGCCACATTCCTCCACTTGAAAAATTGTAATCTTAACTGTTTCAGGGCTGCAGCATTCTGCAGTTAACTTTCTACTCCTTTTTTGTCATTGATAGGAATAACAAACTTACAGAAATGTGTTGCATTTTTATGTTTTCTTATGGGGGGAAATGCACTTTCTGGTTATTTAAAAGAATGTAGGTGGGGTTTTTTTCCAGAGCAAGGTGCAGACACAGAATTCAATAATAAATGGTGTGGGATACAAATCGAATCATTTTGATGTGTGCAATTAATCGCCCTATACCTGGAGGTCTCAGAGCGGTTCACAGAAAAGATCAACATAAAAACCACAATATATATAATCAAAATAAAAACAACCCAATAACACCCCCCCCCAAACCACATTTTAAAAGGTTACAGGATTTCAATCAGATCAACCAAAGCCTGGTTAAAAAGGGATGCTTTTGCCTGGTGCCTAAAGGTGTATAATGAAGGCGCCAGGCGAACTTCCCTGGGAAGAGCATTCCACAGACGGGGAGCCACTGCAGAGAAGGCCCTGTTCTCACGTTGCCACCCTCTAGAGCTCTCGAGGAGGAGGCACACGAAGAAGGGCCTCAGAAGATGATCTCAGGGTCCGGGGAGGTTCATATGGAAAGAGGCGGTCCTTGAGGTATTGTGGTCCGAAGTCGTTTAAGGCTTTATAGGTCAAGACCGGCACTTTGAGTTGGGCCAGGAAACTCATTGGTAGCCATTGGAGTCGGACCAGGATTGGTGTAATATGCTTAGACCGTCTTGCTCCGGTGAGCAATCTCGTCGCTAGTAAATTTATCATCATGAGGACAGGTAGGGCAGAGAGAAGACTTCTTCTGCAGCATCCTCATCCTCCCCACCGAACCCAGTGGTAGAGACTGCTTCACCCAACACAGGGGTCTGCTTTTGCCTCTGCCTCAGCAGTGTCTCGTCGCCACTTCCCACCCCACCCCTTTCCGTAAGAGTACAGAGCACCATGACACTTACATGGGAGAAAGTAATGAAGGATAAGGAAGAGGTTAGCCTGCTCTCTTTCAGGACTCTCCAAGTTGTCCACTGGGATAACATGGAATGAAATCGCTCCAGGATAAATGTAAAGGGACCCTTGACCATTAGGTCTAGTCGTTGCCAACTCTGGGGTTGCGGTGCTCATCTTGCTTTATTGGCTGAGGGAGCTGGTGTACAGCTTCCGGGTCTTGTGGCCAGCATGACTAAGCTGCTTCTGGCGAACCAGAGCAGCGCATGGATCATAGAATCATAGAGTTGGAAGAGACCACAAGGGCCATCGAGTCCAACCCCCTGCCAAGCAGGAAACACCATCAGAGCACTCCTGACATATGGTTGTCAAGCCTCTGCTTAAAGACCTCCAAAGAAGGAGACTCCACCACACTCCTTGGCAGCAAATTCCACTGTCGAACAGCTCTTACTGTCAGGAAGTTCTTCCTAATGTTTAGGTGGAATCTTCTTTCTTGTAGTTTGCATCCATTGCTCCATGTCCGCTTACCTTCCTATTTGGTACCTATTTATCTAATTGCACTTTGACGTGCTTTCGAACTGCTAGGTTGGCAGGAGCAGGGACCGAGCAATGGGAGCTCACCCCGTCGCGGGGATTCGAAGCGCCGACCTTCTGATCGGCAAGTCCTAGGCTCTGTGGCTTAACCCACAGCGCCACCCATGTCCCTTCCTTTGTGTAAGGTCCCCCCAATTTTAATGAACCCTCTGCAGTACTTCTGAAGTAACATTTGTATGAGTTTTTCACCGGAATATAAGAAAGGGACAAATGGAGTTTTTATGTGCTGTGCTCTGCTGTGCCCTTTAGTGAGACACAGTCTCTTGGTCTCCTAACTGTTCTGTACTAGCAGTGCTAATTGCACGTTGCCTAGAGATGTCGAGGTTCTAACTCAACCAATGCCTGTTTTCTTATTTCTCAGCCATGTCAACCTATCTTTTCATTGTTAAGTCCGAACTTCCTGGGGCCATTGCAGGATTCCTTAGCGGAGACCACAGCGGGTAAGGAGAAACGTAAAAGCATCCTACGAGGGCAGGCAAAGGCATTTCTTCTCAAACATAGGGGCCGCGATGCTTCCCACTGTTCTCCAGGTGAAAGAGAGAGAGAGAGAGAGAGAGGGACGAGACCTTGCAGATTCCTGCACCTGTGCAATGCAGATGTGTGCTACTGTTCAGAAGTATAATTCATTACTGATTGCACCCATAGTGATTAATAGGAGCCTGAAAATCATACTTTGCTGTCAGCATATTTACATCTGCAGCTCACACAAAAATAGTTGTTTCTTCTTTGTGCCAAATGCGGAATGCTTCTTCAGACAAGCTTACATAGTCAGCAGAACCAAGTGGCAACACATTTCTTGGATTGTAGATTTTCAGGCTGCAAACAGAAGGTTTTCATGCACAAATACACACACGTCTCTGCACATAGAAAATTGGAATGTTGAGGTGAAGGCCATGCTGAAGCGCCACCTTTCCGTGTTTAGAAAGTTTCTGAATAATTGTGGATCTTTCAAATATTCTTGCTTTTTTCTGAAGTGGTGCACTCCATGCAAAGCTTTAGCAATTGATTCTGCTGGTTATATAAATTGCAGCTGAACTGGGTTTTAACAGCAGCTAAACTGAAGCAAAGTCTCCCACTGCCCTGCCCTGCCCTGCTTACTTGATTGTCAGTACTGTATTCCATTGATTTAACCTCCCCCTTTCAAAACTCTCCCCCCCCCAAATTCTGGAAAATTGGGTTTTCTAACAAGAGGTCTGAGGCAACTCTGCCTTAGGCCACATTAATACCACACATGTGAAGTACTGTGCTACGACTTAAACAGTCACGGCTTCCCCCAAAGAATTCTGGGAGCTGTAGTTTGTTAAAGGCGCTGAGAGTTGTTAGGAGGCCCATCTTCCCCTCACAGAACTACAATTCCCAGAGTTCCTTGTGAAGAGGGATTGATTGTTAAACCACTCTGGGAACTGGACCTCTTTGAGGGAAATAGAGGTCTCCTTTAGCGGAAGCCTTGGCTGTTTAAAGTAGTGCTTCAAATGGATGGTGTGAGTGTGGTTATAATCAGTTGCACTTTAGATGAATTTTGGAACTCTACTCAAAAGCAACCAAGCAGATTCCTTGATCTTGCAGTGTCGTTCCCAAGTTGCAAATCATCATTTACTTTCACACGTGTGACGTTTTCACAAGGTGCCTCAACTGCCTAATTTTTGCACAAGAAAATACTTTAGAATATATTTTTTCACACGGTAGGATCCAGTTTTACCTTACTAAGACAGGCTAGTTTCCTCTGGGTTTCTGTCACTTGTAAAATCCACTTTGTGCCAAAGAAATCGCACCAAACTTATAGCATGAGAATCAGGCCTCTGCCTGAGCCCTGAAACGTTTAAACTGCCGCTGTCATGTTACCATGTTAACATATTTTTTTCTAACCACAAAGCAAAATCTGGCAGTTAGTGAAATTTTAAATATTTTTGTTTTCGCTGAGTAGTTATTGGACTTGTCTTTGGGAAACGTGCCAGTTTTCATATTTGTTTTATAATTCCTCCAATTTGGCTGTGCAGCTGCATTCACTTCATCTTTAGATCTGACTCAAAACTTCTTCTTTTTTTAAAAAAATTGTGGTTCAGCTTGCTGAGAAAAATGTTCCAACATTTGAATAGCTTGTTCTTGTTTTGAATAGACTGGAGTTGCCCCTGCTCCTACAATAACTCCAGGGCGTCCTTTGCCTGTCTTTTCAATCTCCTGGTTTCCATGAATTCGAACTCTTAGCACGATACATACTCCTTGAACTGTAGGTTAATGCGCAACATTTTTAGTAGACCTTTTTTTCAAAAGCGAGAAAGGTGTTTTTGATTATGGGTGGAGGCAGCAGGGGGTCAGTTTTTCGATCTTAAGCATTTGTTTCATTTTCATTATTCTCTCTCCCTAGTTTCTAGTCAAGTTTGGAAATAAAATCGGGCACAATCCACTAGCACTGGGTGATCCGTGCTGTAAAAACAATTGGGATATTTCCCTCCTGATTACCTTCTCTAGCACTGGGTTTCAGCTCGTTGTTTGGGACCCACAAGTGGGGTGGGCCTATGGCAGGTTGCAGCAGGCACATCAGCATAGTTTGGTTTACTTCTCGAACAAAGCATGTATTGAGGAAGGGAGGCTTCCTGAACCTTTAATAGCTGTGTAGAAGAGCAGTTCTAAACCTTGTCTGTATGGTAACCCACAAGTCCAAAATCACCTTGGGATGGCGACCTATAAATTAATTTTCACATGAATTCCTGAGTGTTAAAATGTAAGACTCTAATCTTGCTGGCATTCAATTGCATGTGTCAACACACAGCGTTACAATATGCCAGTGAAACAAAAAGTTGCATCATAGACCAGTTGCAGATTCCAAGCAACAATTATTTTGTGTTTCCTTATAAAGCCTGCAACCCACTTTTGGGTCATGACCCATAGGTTGGGAAACACAGGCATAGAGTTTTGGCAGAGCTAGCCTTTTTCCATCTATCTCTCTGACGAGCTCTTCTTCACAACTGCTGAAGGTGCAGGAGTTGGTCCCATGTTAAGGCTGTTGTTTGAGATAAGTCACTGTGTCTGAAAAAGTCGAACTACCCTTCTCTGTAGGATTTGTTTGCAGCTGCTGTACTGGAAGGAAAAGAGAGTTGTGTGGTGCTGGAGACTCGGGTGGGTTATGTGAGTGGTAAATGGTGATGGGCGGTGCCCCAGTTTTGGAGGACCATTCCTCAATATTTGCCTAGTGGCTACACTCTTCAGAATATTAAAACATTCTGAAAATGTCCCCTTTCCCCTTTTAAACACTCAGCCAATGATTTCAGGATCGCTAGGAACAGTATTTCAGCCATCAAATGCCTGGGTAAACCTTCTGAATGTCAGTAATGAGGGAGACAGACACATCTTGCCAGGGAGGGCATTCCACAAACTGGGAACCATCACTGAGAAGGCCCTGTCGCTGGTCCATGCCAACCAGGCAGCCCCCCCCCCCGTGGCACTGGCACCAACAAGGCCTCACCTGCCGATCACAGGGTCCAAGATGGTTGGTACTTGTGCTCTTTTAGGTAATCGATTCCTGGTTATTTAGGGCTTTACAAGCTAGTACTAACACCTTGATCAGGGTCCATCTCACTGGCAATCCAGTGCAGCACTTTCAGGACTAGTGAGACATGATCCCATCGGGCTTCCCCACGTCACATTTTTATTCCGTTTGTTTTGTTTTACAGATAATGATTTTCATTGCTGTTTTTAGGGGCTTTGTTAAAAATTGCAAGCCTCCTTCTGCACATGGATATAGAGAGATGGATAAAAAAAAACATTTTAAGCTAAGGAAACCTGATATTTGACACGGCACTTTTTCAGAAGTAAAACTTCGCTCCTACAGCTGGAAAGCTTTGTGGTTTTTTTAGGGCATTCAAGAGCGAAAACCGCTTGCCCTCATTGGAGCCCTTTCCTTGTGTTTCAATTACATTCTGTTTCACCTGCATTGGTAGCCATTGGATCTATTCAGTGCAGAGACAGGACAGAATCCATCTTCTACTGGAGGCTGAATTGAAACCAGACATAGTTTCTAATGTAGTCTGTCTCAGAATCAAAAAGAGAGACAGCAGGCAGCCTTCTTTGTTGATGATGCTTTGAGCTCACAGGAGTTGCCGTATTTTTCGCTCTATACGACGCACTTTCCCCCCTCCAAAAATGAAGGGGAAATGTGTGTGCGTCCTATGGAGCGAATGCAGGCTCCTTGGGGGAGAGCTCCCCCCGCGCTCTGGAGGCTTCGCGTTGCTTTCGCTGAAGCCCCCGGAGCGCAGGGAACTCCCACTGCGCTCCAGGGGCTTCAGGCAGCTATCCGCAAGCCTTCGGAGCACAGCAGGAGTTCCGGCCGCGCTCTGAAGGCTTGCGGATGGCCATCTGAAGCCCTCGGAGCACAGCGGGAGTTTGCGCGCCATCTGAAACCTGGAGAGCGAGAGGGGTCGGTGCCACCTGAAGCCTGGAGAGCGAGAAGGGTCGGTGCACACCGATCCCTCTTGCTCTCCAGGCTTTGCTTCGCTGGAGAGGCGCTGCACAGTTTTCCCTCTCTGCGCAGTGACCCTTCAGCGAAGCGGGAGGAGCAATGGAAGGTGCTCCGTTTCTCCTACTGCTTCTCTGAAGGGGCGCTGAGCAGAGAGGGGGAGAATTTCCCCCCCCCTGTTTGCCCCCTCCTATGGTCCGGTGCGTCCTATAGAGTGAAAAATACAGTACTCTATTTCTCCCAGTGCTCAGTTTGAGAATTTATGCTCTGCTTTTCACGGGACCTCAGACACACACCTCTTAGATCCGCATCTGCTTTGTTATCTGCCCACTCCAGCCAGGTGGGTACCAAGATGTTCTGGATAACCCTCGTACTACACTTACAAACAGGAGCCACACATAACATTGCTCAGGCTGCTTTCACCTATATGGAACAAGAGCCACAGTTTCCAAAATAATGAACATTGACCCATCTCAAGGCTCCTGCAGCATGTGCCAGGTTTGCAGAGGACAGTTGGCTGTGCCAAAACTTGTGTAGTTCTATAGTAAGCTCTTTATTTGGGAGTCATCTGCAGCTGATGGTCAAAACTGCCAAGGAAAACACTTGGCCAGAAACAGCGTTCAAGCCCTTGTAAAAATAGTTACACCCCCACCAAAAGAGCCAAACCAAAACAACTTTGAAAATTGAAGGAGCCAAATTATTAACCTATAGTGAACTTTTTAGAGAGAATCTGCTTCATTTACGGCCATTTTGAAAGCGAATTTGAGAACATAGACCCAACCTTCGGAGCTGCTACCTTCTCCAATAATATTGTTCTTTCCATAACAAATATTTTTAAATTGCTGTATAAGCAAGAAGCATCTTTCCTGCTTTTGTCAACATCAGCCAAAGACTAAGTGCTGATAGGGCAGAATTCCCAATTGCCTAAATAACATTTCAAAAAGAGATTCTAGCTCCCAGGAGCCTTAAATTTCGTTAAGTTAATCTATGATGGAGTAGAACTTTCACGTGCTCCTCTTTGCAATGGATTTTTAAAGTAGAGGAAATGCTTAGAAATGGAAAATATACAATCCAACGCTGAATCTAAGGAGAGGCTTCAAAATGTGCAAGGAATTGCAATATTAGGGTAATGGTTATTGGGGTTTTTTTGTAATACAATGGGACAACAGATTGGTTGGTTCATAATATTAAGAGTTTATGATATTTAATTATAGTTCATCAATATAAATTTGGTTTAAATATGCTTGGCTGCTAATGACTATTTTACGTTTAAAAATTATTAAAATAGAAAAAGTACACTTAGAAACAGTAAAGTGTGTCTTTCATATATTTCAGGCAGGTGAGTGCAGAGGCACTGTAAGCCTTCTGCACAAGATTCATTTTTTGTTTCCTTGGGTGTGTCACAGAGCCAAAGGGACTGTGTGCATTATTTGCTTACGTTATTTATATTCTATTGGCATTTTAAAAACAATTCAAGAAAAATGCAGTAAAACACAATAAAATAAAAGCATAACAATTAAATTAAAATACTCAGCCCAGAGACCAAAGAAACGAAACCACAAAGCCAGATCAATATAAAATTTCATTGTTAATCTGTGCCAGGCAATCCAGCTGGTGTAAAGCCATTGTTCCATAGATTCCGTGGGAGAATGATGGTTTTGCTCCAGCTGGATTGCCTGTCAGTCACTCTTAAGGCTGCAATCCTAAACACACTTAACTCACGAGACCCACGAGAACATGAGAAGAGAGCGGCTTGGTAGCCATTACTGCCTCATGTAGGAGCGAGTTCCATAGGCTACCTATGTGAAGTGTCTAGAAGTACTTCCCTTTATCTGCTCCAGATCTTCCAAAATTCAGCTTCGCTGGATGTCCACAAGTTCTAGTTTTTATGAGAGAGGGCAAATTGGGTTAGGGATGCTCTTAAAAGTGTTTTGGGAAGAGTAGGCATGTTTTCAGGGTAGCAGATGAAAAATCATTTATCAGGATTCTGGGGGAAATTGGGTCCTGTTATAGCAATACTCACACATCCTCCTTTTATGTCTCTGTTCTTCATAGAATGCAGTTTACAGAACATGAGGATCAGGAGATGGTGTGATCAAATAAATGCAGGCTCTGTTGGTTTAGCCTAGTCTTTTATGCATTACGAAGAGACCCAGGGGATGCAAGGAGCAGGCAAGGCCACAAGCTGTTACGTAGGGGAGTAGGGATGGTGGAGCTGTGTAACTCAAGCGGGGCAGTAGGCTTGGATAGCGATGGGAGAATAGTCCATTTGCACCCTTGCTCCCTTCCTCTTTTCACCAGTGGTTTCCTCTTGGCTGAGAGGTGTGAAAATGTGGACCTAGCTGCACAGACTCCTGGCCTTAGGGGTTGTGTTGATCGGCTCTCTGCCAAGGTGCACATGTTGCAGGGGGGGGCGGTCATTGAGAAAGTAGGGTGACCACAACCGAAGCAGCTACACAAGTTGTAATTTGCCACTGATGCCTATTGCCCTGTGTGTAAAGGTAAAGGGACCCCTGACCATTAGGTCCAGTCGTGACCGACTCTGGGGTTGCGGCGCTCATCTTGCTTTATTGGCCGAGGGAGCCGGCGTACAGCTTCCGGGTCATGTGGCCAGCATGACTAAGCCCCTTCTGGAGAACCAGAGCAGCGCACGGAAACGCCGTTTACCTTCCCGCCGGAGCGGTACCTATTTATCTACTTGCACTTTGACGTGCTTTCGAACTGCTAGGTTGGCAGGAGCAGGGACCGAGCAACGGGAGCTCACCCCGTCGCGGGGATTCGAACCGCTGACCTTCTGATTGGCAAGTCCTAGTCTCTGTGGTTTAAGCCACAACGCCACCCGCGTCCCTTCATATCAACTGTGTGTATATACTGTTAAATACGTTACTTGCTCAGGCAGGTCAGACGTGTGTAAATATATGTCTCAGGTCAGTACTGCCCACCTAATTTCAACAACCAGTGCAGACATGCCCATAAGTGTTACTGGCACTCTTAAAATGGTAACATGATGCCCCTTCCTGTTTACGAGGTGCTAACCATGTTCTGGGCTAAATAAAACCAGAGACCAAAGGCCATGGTGTTTATAGGGAACAACCATAAGGGATAATGCATAAGACACTCATCAATCAGCATTAGGGGTTTGAAGCAGAGAGGGCTCTTATTGTGGCGTTCAGAACATTCTTGGTGGCTCTGTAGCTCTCAGTCAAAATAGCCCCTTTTGGGATCCCCCCCCCCCCGGCAAGGCAGACCATACCTGTCATCAAGGTCCTCTGACTTGAGAGCTATATCGGTTAAAAGTGCCGCCGCAATTGTCCTCACATCTGCCCTGGGTTCGACTGCTTGCAGTATACTGTACAGTGGTACCTCTGGATGCGAACGGGGATCCGTTCCAGAGCTCCGTTCGCATCCTGAAGGGAATGCAATGCACGTGTGCGCGGGTCGCAATTTGCCGCTTCCGCACATGACGTCATTTTGAGTGTATGCGCATGTGCGAGTTGTGAAACCTAGAAGTAATGCGCTCCGTTACTTCTGGGTCGCTGTGAAGCGCAACCCGAAAATACTTAACCTGAAGCTACTTCATCCCGAGGTATGACTGTACAGTGGTACCTCGGTTTACGAACTTAATCCGTTCTGGAAGTCCATTCTTAAACCAAAACTGCTCTTAAACCGAGGCATGCTTTCCCTACTGAGGCCTCCCACCAGTGGTGCCCTTTCACCGTTCGGCTTCTGTTCGGTTTCTGAGGTAAAGTTTGCTAACCGGAACACCTACTTCTGGTTTTGCGGAGTTCGTACACCGAATAGTTCGTTAACAGGGCTGTTTGTAGAATGAGGTATTACTGTAAAACTATATGTTGCTACATGAAGCACATTTCCCTGATGAATTAGGCATGAGATTTTAATAACTTATCTTACTTGTTTTTACTTAGATGTAAATCCCGTTAAGTTCAATGGGATTTACTCCCAAGTAAATGTGTGTAGGGTTGCAAGCTAAGAATTATTTAACAGGGTAACAGCGCTTCTAACCTGTTCACAGTCTGCGAGTAGTAGCGTCACATTTTTTTAAAACTCTAAATAAATGCAGCCTTTAAAAGACCACTCTTCGGAAGTTATTAGGGAGACTGAAGGAAGGTGATTCTTGGTTTTTGATGCTTAATTATCCATGATTTGTATGTGTTTAGTTAAATAGTGTTTGTCTCTATCTTTTCCTTTTAAAAAACTTAATTTTATTAAGACTTTTCAACATACAGTAAACAAAACAGCAAATAAGAAAGAAAGAGAACGAAGAGAAAACCAGGGCGATAAGAATAATAACAGAAACCCTACTGTCTTTTCCAATAGCTCCTGGTATCTTGATGGGAGATTGCTGCTGCTTCTTACCTCAGTTTGCATTGTCTTCCCTCTAGCACTTCTTCCTAAAATTGGTAAGTAATTTTAAAGGGAGTGTTATTGCTGCCATAATTACTATTAGCAGTAGTGTTCTCTTTTAGTAGCAATTTAATTGAGGAGTTTAAAAAGAAAGCCTTAATGGGTGGTGGTGTGTGTTTGTTAAAGATTCGAGGAAAGATTGGGAGGGGAGGCAGGTTTATTTGCAACCTAGTCTGTCCTCCAGCTTTGCCTATTTAACCTATTACTTAGATTGCAGTAGTCCTGTGTCTGCTCTACTAAAATAAAACCTTTACAACAGAACATTAAAGAGCTGCATTTACTTACAGCATGCCATTAGTGGTAAGCCAGTTCTAATTCTGCCCTACAAAACTACATAAATGATCTGTGACAGGCAAGTTGGAATGTTGTTATTCTGAATCTTAAGCCCCAGATACCGAGCCCCGTAATGCAAAACATACCTAGAGCATGAAGCTCCTTTCGCCCTACACCAGGATCACTTTCCTTATAAATTGCCTCTTATTTTTACTGTTATTTTACAGGCTTTCTTGGCTACACAAGTAGTTTATCATTTTTCTTTATGGTGTACTTTGCTCTTGTGGTAAGTCTGGAAAAAAAAACAAAAAACCCCAACCCAACCCAGATCGCAGCTTATGTTAAGTTTTCTTATTATTTTGATGGATCTCAGAGTCCCTTTGAAACGGATGTCTGTGCTTTAAAAGCTTGCCTCTTCAAACGAAGTGTTCCTTCTCCTCTCCTTTAAGTGTGGTGGTATGTATTTTCTTGCTTTGGGGTAAGTTGGTTTGGCTGAAAAGTCACGAATGTGAAAAGATTTGCCATCGTTAATTGTTTGGACTGTAAAATGCAGTTGGAGTGTATTTGTTTTGCTGACAGGGCAATGAAAAATACTGGCCTGAGCGCTTTCCCCTCCCCTTCTCCACGTGTGGAATGGAATTTTTTTTTAAAAATTTGTCCTTCCTTCCAACCACCATTTACTGCAACTCGTGCAGAAGAAAATGTCATATATTCCAAGTAAAATTGAATGTACATGTTCGCTTAATAGTAAAAAAGCACAAGACGCAGCAAATCTCTTTTGAGCAATTTAATGTATATATTAATATAGCAAAAGCCTTATTCTTTCCATCTGAAAGCAATACTTTCCCTCCCCTTCTCTCTCTCTATCTCTGTGTGAGCCAAGTAGGGCATTTCAGTGCTGATATTTGCAGCCATTGATTCCTATATGATATATGGAAAGCAGAGTACTGGAACACATTTGGTCTGGATTTGTTTTGCTAGTGGTTTCTGCAAATGAGGGAGTATTTGGAAGTGTTTTTAGCAGGCACAATCATTTTAGGCATGGTTCCATCTCCGAGACGGCATGTATGGTGCCCACAAAACCGCTATCTGCGGTGGTGGGTCTTGCAGGTGCCGTAACGTTTTTAAGAAGTTCTTAATCCATGCTGCAGAGCGCATAGGTTAGCTTGCTGGTCCCTGGCCCATACATCCTGAGCATGTTAATGCCTTTGCGGCAGCACTGCACACCAGAGGTACATTATGTCTAAATTGCCGCCAGATTTCATCAAGGAGATAGGTAAGTAAGTAATGGTACTCTCCAGAAGGGAGCTGGAGAATTTATACAGCTCGCATTTCATGGGCAGTCCACCAGCCCTTGCCCCATGGTTTCTAGAGAATTTCCAAAATGATCGTATTTATTTAGAAACACGAGAAAAGCTGGTTAGATCAGGCCAAAGGCTCATCTAGTCCCAATATCCTATTCTCACAGTGTCCAGCCAGATGCACATGGGAAGTCTGAAGGCAGGAACTGAGTGCAAAAGCACTTTCCCAGAAACTGATATTCAGAGGAATAACTGCCTCCAACAGTGGAGGTAGAACTTTTTTTTAAAAAAACCATTTTAGTCCCTTTTTGATCACAAGCTCTACAAAGCTGAGATTCCCTACATTTCAGGAGTTTGAATAAATGACCCTTAGGGTCTCTTCCAACGCTACAATTCTGATTCCATGAAAGTAGTTTAAAATTGACCACACCAAGTAATCACAGTTCAATGTTAAAACCATATAATGTTAAATATTACTAAACTGATGTAAAATACCTAGCATAACATACTAAGGGAAGATTTCCCTTTTGTGAAGCCGTAATCATAAATAATTGTGAAGTTGGAAGGTACCCCGTGGGTCATCTAGTCCAACCCCCTGCCATGCAGGAATTTTTTTGCCCTAGGTGGGGCTTGAACCCATGACCCTCTGGTTAAGAGTCTCATGCTCTACCAATTTCTCAGAATTTTTTTTTCCCTGACCGGTGTGCGATTTTTCTTTTGTGAATTCTGACTCCCTTGGAGAATTTCAGTCCTACCCGGAATTTCAGCAAAATGGTTTCCCGAATTTCGCCATCCGTGAATTTTGGGTGCAACTGTGGATCTAATTTGCTCCCTCCCGTCGCGTCTTATTGCACTGATTTATTCATCTGCCAAGATGAACCAGCAACAGAGTTTCGTTCAACATTAAGTGAGCTGAAATTTCTCAGAAGACTCCTTTCGAAGAAGAAAGAAAACCTTTGAGAATTTTACTTCCCTACCAAATATTTGGCAAATTCCCCCTCCCCCAGCTTCACTGCCCACAAATGGCATGGAGTATTTTCTTTTCTTTTATTATTGTATTTCAAATTCATATACTGCTTGATGGTAAAAACAAGGAAACATCAAAGTGGTTTACAAAAAGAATAAAGCAATGAGATTATCAATAAAGGCACTTAAAAGCAATTATTGTAAATATTCAAAAACAATTAAAATGAATGAATTCTGCGAGGCCACTGTGCCTTTTGAGCTGGGCAGGGCTTACCATAAACTTAGCATAAGCAAACCCCCACTTAACTTAAGATTCAAGATGATGCTGTTTACTTTAAAGGTGATGGATTTGATGCTGGAAAACAACTGAAAGGGAACACAGAGCTAGGCCTTGGAGCGTGATAGAGCAAAACAGATTTCCCCATGCTAGAAGCTCATTATTTTGGAGAACTGAATATAGAATTTATAGCACTTCATATGCTACCTTATTGGCATAATTGCAGTTTCTGCATGGCTGCTTCCAACAGGTTCTAGTAACTTGCAACAAGGATTACACACATGGAGGTGACCTATAACATTTTTTCCTTCCACTGCAAAGCAACCAGCTCCCAGGGTTGAGTAACCCTGAAGTGTGGAGTTGGTATGTTGCATATATTTCTAGGTTGTTTCCCTAATGGTGTGGGAAGAAGCCACACAGAAACAGCAACCCAGGCCACAAAGGGAACATATGGCAAGTGCCAGCCCTTAGATTTGGATCTGGAAGACTGACTCAGTTCATGTTCCACCTGTGCCATAGATTCACTATGGCGGCCGTCAGCTGGTCACTTATCAGGCACAGTTTCTTATCTGTAGAAAGAGAGAAAATGAGGAGGGTGTTAAAGGAAAACACAATAACGCTTGTAAGGCATTGTGCAGTGCGGCATAGTAAGAGCATTGAACTTGGACCTGGGAAACTTGGTTCAAATCTCTAGGCTGGTCGCTATTTATCATCCTAACCTGAGGTGTTAAAAATGGGTAAATCTCCTGCTTTGAACTTCTTGGAGAAAGGGTGAGATACAAATATGATTAATAATAATAATAATATTAAAAATTCAGAGACGTCCAGCGATTTATTGCAAACATGGGAGTTCTGATGTGCTCGGAACTCCCCTACCTGCAGAGGAATATGCTTCTGTTTAATTGGATTGGATAATTAGCACATGAATATTTTCACATGGCAGTCTGGATGAAAGCGGGTCCACCAGCAGTTGTGAAATAGTGGCTTTGTTCCTCTCCCCTCACATCTTTTTGTGCGTGGCACACTTTTCTTCCTCTTCTTTGTCCTCGGTGTAAATTCGAGCTTTGTGATTAAACCAAGTTTTGCACAAGACTGGCTGCCTGTGCATCACCTCTCAAGTCGCTGTGCAGCTGCGCAGGCTCTTGAATGCGAAGGTCAGCTGCCTTGCCCCCATTATTTTGGGACTCTCCAAAAGTAAACAACCCCCTAACAAATGGCCTCTCCTCTCCTCTTCCCTTTGGGGTATCTAGCCTAAGGCCCAGGATGAGATTAATCACCACCTGCTGAGTGGTCTGGACTTGCTGTTTTGACTTACTGTGGTTTTCTTTCTTCTTTTGCTGGGGGAGGGGAGAAGATTGGCTGTCTTTTAATGGCTCGAATTAAGGAGCAACATGGTAATGAGGTGCCGTGTGCCCTGTCTCTGTAGAGAACATACTTTTTAATTTCAGAAGGCATTTTTACACTTAAAACAAAGGCTGATATGTGTGGGGTTTTTTGTGTGTGTGTGTGTGTTACTTAATTGGGTGCTTTATTCTGTTACCCCCTCCCCTTTCTTTTAAAAGCCCGCTACCTGCCCTGTGGATCGATTGGGGAAGAAATGAATGTAAATGAATGAATGAAATCATGCCTGCACTTAATAGGAGCTGAACTGCCTTGCTCCTAGGCCTTCTGTGCTAAGAGTTCAGTGTTGTTATTTTAGCAGCATAAGGAATGCCCTTAGCTTGCATTGACTTGCGTGCAGGTCTTTGATAACATGGACCAATTTTGTTCTTAGTTTTGTTTTTTTTGAAGAAGATAAAAATCATGTATAGGGCATCCAGCAAAAAATGAAAATAAAAAAATGCCATCCAGAGTGCAAGACAACCAACCCATTAAGGAACTGAACCATGTGATAACATCAGACTTCAAAGCTGTCGAAGCAGCTCCCTAAGGGCAGTGTCTGTCAAGAATTCCAAAATACGTTGTAGAGGTCTAGGAGATGGTAATCTTCAGCATCAGCCTCCTCTTAACTGAATCCCCATTCAGTAATATGGACTTTGGTCTACTTACGCCCAGCATGTTTCATCTCCTTGAGCTCTCCCAATGGGTCGTGTTTTCGTTTTGTTTTGAGTTTTTAAACTTAGAACAACAAGCCATTTTCCCATGTCAGTCTGTTTTTCAGACTCCTCTCTGTTTCAAAAGCGACTTAATATATGGCACTGGAGGCAGGTTTGCTGTTTGCATTCCAAGGTTCCTTTTTTTATTGATCCCATGTATGCTTCTGTGAAAGTCCCATTGTGCTCTTATCGGTCTTATTCTCAGTTAAGAAGGATAGCTCAGTCGGTGGTGGAGCATGAGACCCTTGAAATCCCAGGCTCATGGATTTGTGCCCCATGTTGGCCGAAAAGATTCCTGCATTGCAAGGGGTTGGACTAGACCAGGCATGTCCAACTGATCAATCATGATCTACCGGTCGATCGTGGGGCGTCCCTGGTTGATCGTGGTTGATCGTTCAACAACTTTGATGAATTGTTGTTGTTGTTTAGTGTCCGACTCTTTATGACCCCATGGACCAGAGCACGCCAGGCACCTCTGTCCTCCACTACCTCCCGCAGTTTGGTCAAACTCATGCTGGTAGCTTTGAGAACACTGTCCAACCATCTCGTCCTCTGTCATCCCCTTCTCCTTGTGCCCTCCGTCTTCCCAACATCAGGGTCTTTTCCAGGGAGTCTTCTCTTCTCATGAGGTGGCCAAAGTCTTGGAGCCTCAGCTTCACGATCTGTCCTTCCAGTGAGCACTCAGGGCTGATTTCCTTAAGAATGGAGAGGTTTGATCTTCTTGCAGTCCAAAGGACTGCTCCCCCCAAACAGCTCAACAACTTTGGTCAATCCAATAGATAGATCACTGCCAGTTATTTTTTAGAGGGAGTAGATCGCAGTCTCTAGGGAGTTGGACACTCCTGGACTCCATGTGGTCCCTTCCAGCTCTATGTTTCTATGAGTTCATAGAACTGCATCCTTAGCCTTTGCATTCCTTACGAACCTTATGTTCCTTGAAGCTTAAAAGGGATTTCCTCTTTGCCCGACTGGGCATTGTACAAAGGCATCGTATAGACATTTGCTTGGAAGTAGGTTTCACTTTGCTGAACAGGGCTTTCTCCCTAGTGAGTGGGTGTAGGACTGCAGCCATACGATGCATTTGGCTTCAGCGTAGAACTGGATTAGGCACAGGGGAGGGAGGGGGTGCCACACATTTTGGCTGGCCTTGCCAGCTAGCCATTACTTGCGATTGCCACCACCTCTGCCATACTCCCCTGCACTCCCCTGCACAGAGGACCCAGGAGAGGGGCAGGGTCTCATCTTTCATATGCTGAGCTTCAGAGTCACTGGGAAGCAGAAGCCCAACAGAAGATCGGAGATAACATCCATCTCTCATTTCATAGTGAGACAGGCAGTTGCTAGACTGGGGGTGGGGTGGGGTGTGGGGGAAGGAGCTCACCACCTGCAGCCTGGCAACGATATTTGTTGACTCCTGTTTGGCAGCTCTTCCAGGTTGATGAATTAATGCAGCCTAAAAAGGTGTTATCGTGTGCATGTGGCAGAGGAAAGGGTAAACATGGGGGATGAAGAATGAAGATTGCAGGAAGGAATGGGCGAGAGACGAAAGAGCAGAGTGTACTATCAAGACCACAAATGCTATTGAATACAGTTCAACCTTATCAATCATTGCTCGGAAGTGAATCCCCACAGAGTTCAGTGAAAACTTACCCCTAAGAGAATGAGCCCAAGGTTGCTGACCTTAAACGTAAAGTGAGACTCATGTGTTCTTCAAGCATTCATGCGTCTGCATGGAGTTCGATTCAGGAGCACGATCTTGTGTCTGCCTGTATTTATTGCTTAGAATTTAATGTAGCATTTTTATTAGTATCTGAAATTAATCCAGTGCTCCTTATTCACACTCCTTTGTGCAAACCAGTGAGGCCATACCTACAAGTGGGGGTGGGAGCTTTAGATTTTAAGAAAATTACGTTCTTCAAGGTGATCTTCTATCTCCATCTCCATTGAGCCATAAACGGATGCAGAAAGTTATCTCTGGCCCTAATGAGTCAGGGGGGTTTCTTATGAATCTAGAGCCATTTTGTGTATCCTAAAGTGTCGATGTGGCACATCAGGAGCCAAGTATGGGCACCCACCCACCATATAAACGTTTTTTATCATTATATATTAGGCCGCTGCTTGGAAATCCACATCTATATAAAATTTCCATTTGCCGCACTGAAATACTGGAAGGTGTATTAAATGCAGTTCAGTTTTCCAAACTAGTTGGTGTTTTTTGTTTTGCTTTTTGAAGCTGGAAAAATGTCATGTTGAAATGCACACAGCGGTTTGCATATCATCTGTTGCTGTCACAAGCAGATACACTTTAATGTGTTCCGGAGGGGAAATCTTCACCAGGCATATGGAAGCAATACTTTTACATTCACTGTAATTTTCTGTGATTGGTTTCTAGGGCGAGCCATCTGTTCAGATTATTGCCACTAAGAGAGGGAGAGAGAGAGAAACTGAATATTGGCTACAGAAATGGGCTTAGCCCTGAGAGACCATCAGGCGGGTTGAAATCCCACCTGGGAGATCTATGCAGCCTGCTTCCCATCTTTATTACGGGAGTAACAATAAGCTACCTTGCAGTGTTGTTGAGAGTACATATGATCTAAGAATGACAGAGCTGTTCTCCAAAAGTGCTCTAGAGTCACTAGCATATTATAATAATGCGTAGAGAGCCCAACATTCTGTTTCCTAATGGAGCACCATTGTTCTAGATCTCCAATCTTGCTCTCTGGACAAATCATTATTTCCACTGCTTATTGCTACATTTTAGAGCTAAGGTGTGACTTAGCTATACTTCTGCCTACCTCAGGATGCAATTCAGCATAGCGCAGAGCAGAATATGCACACTGGGAATGAAGTCTGCTTGCACAATAAGACTTTTGCCACCCTTCCATCCCCCTGCACCCCCTAAACCTGTTCTGGATTCCTCCCCAACCCTCCAGAGCAGGCACCCCCAAACTCGACCCTCCAGATGTTTTGGGACTACAATTCCCACCATCCCTGACCACTGGTCCTGTTAGCTAGGGGTGATGGGAGTTGTAGTCCCAAAACATCTGGAGGGCCGAGTTTGGGGATGCCTGCTCCAGAGCATGTGAGTGGACCTCATTCTGTGCGTGCAACAACTTGGTTGAATCCTGCCCATTGTCTGCAAAGTATTAACTGTATTCTTTCTCTGCAGGTCATAATTAAAAAGTGGTCCATTCCTTGCCCTCTGCCACCAAAGCTCGCTATGGGGTTCTCCCAGGTATGCACCTTTCCTGACTTACCTGTAATATTTGATTGCCAAAGAGCTTACCACATTTAACTGTAAAGTGATAAGTTGGTCAATTATTTTTCGTTGTTTGAAATTGCACAGAAACAGCAGAAATGCCTTACACTGATGCGGTGGGATCTTCGGATCCATACAGCAATTATAGTCGTCATATCCAAGGCTCTTATTTTATGACTGTGACGTATTTGTGAAAAATAACATATTAGCGGCACTGTAGGAAATGTCTGTGCCCTCCACTCCTGAACGTTGCACAGCTTCAGGTTCCAGAAAGACTTGAAGTCCCAGTGTATAGTATGAGTCCAATAATGTCAGCTCCTTGCTGAAGCTAAGCAGGTTTGGTGTATGGATGGGCAACTACCTGGGAACCATGTATACCACCTTGAGTTCCATGTTGGAAGAACGGCACGGTATAAATGTCAGAAAATAATAAATGACAGACATCTGGGTGCAAGCTATTCTGGAGGCATACATTCGTCTGTTATGAGAAGTCCGTACAGAAGTTTATACAGTGGTACCTCGCAAGACGAATGCCTCGCAAGACAAAAAACTCGCTAGACGAAAGGGTTTTTGGTTTTTTGAGCTGCTTCGCAAGACGATTTTCCCTATGGGCTTGCTTCGCAAGATGGAAACGTCTTGCAAGTTTGTTTCCTTTTTCTTAACACCGTTAATACAGTTGCGACTTGACTTCGAGGAGCAACTCATAGAACGCAGTGTGGTAGCCTTTTTTGAGGTTTTTGAAGACTTTGGTGATTTTTGAAGCTTTTCCAAAACTTTCCCGACACCGTGCTTCGCAAGACGAAAAAAATCGCAAGGCGACAAAACTCGCGGAACGAATTAATTTTGTCTTGCGAGGCACCACTGTATAACCCTGAATGGATGGATTTAAAAGAGGATTAGACAAATTCATGGGTACTGATGGCCATGTTCTGCCTACACTGTCAAAGGCAGCAATTCTTCTGAATACCAGTTGCTGGAAACCACAGGAAGGGAGAGTGCAGTTGCACTCAGATGCTGCTTGAAGGCATCTCATGGGCTTTGGGTTGGCCACCATGAGAACAAGATGGTGGACTGGGTGTGTGTGTTTCACCAGCCTGATCCAGCAGGGGTCTTGTTATGTTCTTATGCTGACATGCCTGCACTGAGTGATTTGCAAAGAAAGTTGTGCTTCTTATAATGGAAGGATGACTTCCTCCATAAGAGCTTGTCTAGGGATAAGCGGGAGGTTAAGGAAGCACCCATACGCACATTTGCAACCATTTCTGATGTGTTTTGGGTTGTGGTGTAGTGAAGGTGCACAGCTGGTGGTGGATGAGTGTTGAAGCAATGTTACTGTGATCTGGAGTTATGGATTTCAGAGTATTTGTTATAAAATTATGGGGTGGGAAGCCAGCCGATGAGTCTCATTTCTTGCCTCTCTGTCCTACACAGGCCTCAAATTCTACTGAAGATTGTAAAGCAGCGCTGTTTAAGTTTTCCGCAGAGGTAATCTTAAATCATCCTCTTAACAGATCACAAGAGTTTGCAAAAATGTATTTAAGCATTGGGCTAAGCCAGGGTTTCTCAGTTTGTGCGTGTTGTGTTGCACCCTGCTCTGGTGATAAAAATAATATGAGTGTGGAATTTAACTGTTCAAAGCCCTGTCGGCATATGGCTAAAACAAAGGGTTAATTTAGAATGAGGCCATTGCCCATCTAGCTTAGCACTGTCTACCCTGACGGGCAGTGGCTCTGCAGAATAGTTTCAGACGGGACATTCCCAGGCCTACCTGGAGGTGCCAGGGAGTGAACCTGGAACTGTTTGCATGCAAAGCAATTGCTCTGCCACTCAGCTGTGGTCCTTCCTCAGCAGCCCTTTGAGAATCTGTTCAACCCAGCTCTTATTTTATTGTAAACATTTGTATCCTACCTTACTGGGCATAAAAAATGCCCAGGGTGTACGTAACAACAAAATATAACATTAAAAACAGTCAATTTTTTTAAAAGCATCATAACTCTTGAGTCTATGGACAGCTGCAAATAAAATGTTTTAAGTGTGTTGTAAAGTGCATTATAAAAATGTGACACTAGATGGCGATCGTGAGCTACGGCAAATTCAATATATTTTTCACAACTTTTTTTTTTTATAAAGGATTTTCACAACGTTTTTAATATGTGTCTAGATTCCACCCAGGAAGGTTTTATAAATAAGTATCAAATATTTATAGGTTGCATTTCAGCAGCGTGACTTTTCTTCCGCATTTCTTTTCTTGTTTTGGCAGAGTGCATATGCCATTCCAACGATGGCTTTCTCATTTCTCTGCCATACATCAGTGTTACCAATTTATTGCGAGCTCCAAAGGTAAAATGTGATTTGTAAACGCATACCATTTTTTAAAAAAATCGTTGTTGGCTGTGACTGCTGCCATTCTCAGAACATAAGCTTCCTGTTTCATTTAGTGTTCATGTCCAAAAGGAATGCCAAATTTATTATATGTCTGATTCCTCCAATACACTGGACCAGTCCTCTAAAACTGCCTTCCCCAACCTTGAGTTGCCAGATATTGTTGGGCTACTGCTTCATTTATGAATTGCTTCCCATGAGATATCTCGAAGCAATTTACCTAGGGCAGTTACATATTTAAAACCTGTCAAAGCAATGTGTGTGTGTGTGTGTGTGTCTGTGTGTGTGTCTGTGTGTGTACAGCGTAAAACAACAACACATACATAAAATCAGTTCAGATCCAAGGCAGATGTTTTGGAACAGGGACTTCTCTTTTTGAGGGTTACGTTCCCTCCCACCAGTAGGTAAAGGGTAAAGGGACCCCTGACCATTAGGTCCAGTTGTGAATGACTCTGGGGTTGCGGCGCTCATCTTGCTTTATTGGCTGACGGAGCCGGCATACAGCTTCCGGGTCGTGTGGCCAGCATGACTAAGCCACTTCTGGCGAACCAGAGCAGCGCATGGAAATGCCGTTTACCTTCCCGCTGGAGCAGTACCTATTTATCTACTTGCACTTTGACGTGCTTTCGAACTGCTAGGTTGGCAGGAGCAGGGACCGAGCAACGGGAGCTCACCCCGTCGCGGGGATTCTAACCGCTGACCTTCTGATCGGCAAGTCCTAGGCTCTGTGGTTTAACCCACAGCGCCACCCGGTACATCTCCCCATTTGGGCCACAGTTCCCTTATTTGAATAAAACACCACCTAACTTTAATCTCTAGCTATGCTAACACAAAGCCTGCCTTGTTTCTCTTTACTTCTGCTCTCTGCCCAGCAAGGGACCAACGTATTTCACTTAAGGCTGGAAACAGATCTGCGTAATTGGTAGACCTTCTGGGAGGTATTCAATGTAGCACTATAGCAATCATTCCCTCGGCATAAGCATTTCAGCTTAACAGACAGAGCAATGCCCTCTCTCTTCCCACCCCGCTGTTCTGAGGGTTATCTTGCCCCCCAGGGCCAATGGGGGAAAGAGAGGCGAAAACCCCATTGCACTGGTGGAAAAACTTGCATTGGCTTCTGCTGGTAGGTCTTGTTAACTGCATCCGGTCCTATGTTTCAAAAAATTACCTGTCAGCTAGGTGTGTCCTGGGACCTGCAGGACGTAGCAGAGACTGTACGCTCCCTCTTGAATCTAAGTTTGGATGCAGGCAATTTTGTTATTGTTATTTTTGTTTTGTTCTCTTTCCTCTACTCCCCCCCCCGCCCCGCCTCGCTTTGTATGACATCTTCCCTGATAAAGAGTTCTTGAGAACTTGAAAGTGTGCATGTTACTTTGTGACATTTTAATCGCTACTCAGCAATTATGATTGATCGTTTGAAAGTAGCATTCAGTTGACTAATTAAGATTCGACAGTTTTCAATCCCCTGAAGATTCAGAATTGTTTCATGGTAGGCCAGCTCAGAAACCTGTTTCATATGCGCATTGGGAAGATGTGAAACAGTCAATAGCAAATTCTTTTCCTGCATTTTCATACTCCTCCTTAAATAATGTCTTATTTTTCTCTCTGTGTTTGTAGTCCATCCAAAAGCAGGATGCAGAAAGTAGCCAACACTGGGATTAGCCTGAGCTTTCTGGTTTATTTTGTGTCAGCGCTATTTGGATACCTCACTTTTTATGGTACGTTTTTAAAGTATTAATTCCTGTTTCTTCATAAGTGATGGCGCAGGCCATGCAATCGTGTGACCCACTAGGCTTAACACTGTCTTAACAGTGGGGCTGGTGCGACCATCCCATTTGAACAAGTCTCTAAAACGTGCCAGTATCTTTTCTGCAATCGCTCTTTGCAGGTTTAAAACAAGTGGTGGGCAGTTTTTCAGGGAAGCTTATATACCCTGACTAATCTTCACCTTAAGAACCCTTGCTTGCTTGCCAGCAATCTCCGAACAGTTTAAGAACCCCTGCAAAAGCACGAGCCTGCTGTTTATTGTATGGGTGGGGTCCAATTCAGATTGCGGCTTGCAATTTTAATAACCTTTCCCCTCCAAAATTTCAGACCATGTGGACTCAGAATTGCTGCAAGGATACAGCACGTACCTGCCCCATGACACTGTAATCATGACTGTAAAACTGGGCATCCTCTTTGCGGTGCTGCTGACGGTGCCCCTAATCCACTTCCCTGTAAGTATTGCAAAAGACCTGATTGCTGGCCCAGCAAAAGTGGCTCCCTTAATTATTTGCAGGCCCCGCCATCCTAGTCTTGGCTGTCTCATCCATTTGTCTTGCGGTGGATCAGAGTGCTGTGCTTGTGTATGTTCCGTTAACAGCGGCAAAGGAACAAGGCCTAAACCGCTAAGCTAATTTGTGCTTTCTTTCTTTCTTTTTTTAAACGAGTTTTGGATCTGAGCTGACTCACAGCATTGCTTGCAGTTTGCAGAATGTGGCGTTCCTAAAGTTTATTTGGTTTGATTTTTTTTGTTTTGTTTCTGTTTTCTTCATATTTGGTTTTCAAGCAAGCGTGCATTTTAATGTAAATAGGAGTCAGCAAGAAGTGGCCTTTGCTAATGATTTCCTGCAAGCAAGCTCAAAACTGATCTTCCTGACATGGAGTTTACTTTAAGTTTTTAACAGGGATTGTAGAAAACCACAAAACTGCTGCTGGCCGCAGCCATTTCTGAAATCCCCCGCTGTATTGGGGCCAAGCTAGATGTCACACAGACATATATAACATTGGCTCCAAACCTCTTTAAAAAAAATGAATAGTGTTTATGGGAGGTGGCTGCACATTTGATTAGAGTATCAGCCGAGGGAAATTCTGTGCTTCATTACTTATTCAGACTCCTGAAAGCTGTTTTACCCCCCATGGCATACCTTTCCCCCTTTGTTTGGAAAAGCAGATCAGGAAACACTCTTGAGCAAGAAGAGTGCAAGTGCTCTTATGGCCAACTCACACATTATGTAGTAACAAGTCCAGGATTCCCACCAGGGGTGCCAACTCCTGGGGGCTGTGCCCTTTGCTCCCCCAATTACTTTGGGAGGGTGCCAGCCCCACCCCCCCAGTGTCCCCAAAAAATCAGCGGATGGAGGTTGTTGAATGCGGAGCAGAGCACAGCATGGCTTCAGGGATTGACTCCTTCCTCTGCTCCTGCCACAAAGATGAAGGAAGGTCATTTCCAGTGGCAGCGGCAGGAGGAGGAGCTACTGGCCATTGAAGCTGCCACCGTGCTCAGCTCCTCCCCCGGCTCCTCCCAACGTCCTAAAGTTCCACATGTGATGTCAGCCCCACCCCCTGGCAAATCACCCTTGCCTCTGTTTACAACCTAGTATATACGCAGGTGGTGCTGTGGGTTAAACCACAGAGCCTAGGACTTGCCAATCAGAAGGTCAGCAGTTCGAATCCCCGCGACGGGCTGAGCTCCCGTTGCTCGGTCCCAGCTCCTGCCAACCTAGCAGTTCGAAAGCACGTCAAAAGTGCAAGTAGATAAATAGGTACCGCCCTGGCGGGAAGGTAAACGGCGTTTCCGTGCGCTGCTCTGGTTCGCCAAAAGCGGCTTAGTCATGCTGGCCACAGGACCTGGAAGCTGTACGCCGGCTCCCTCGGCCAATAAAGCGAGATGAGCGCCGTAACCCCAGAGTCGGTCACGACTGGACCTAATGGTCAGGGGACCCTTTACCTTTTTTATATACCCAACAGGGAACTGCAGCTAATCATGGCTTCCACACAATTTATGTGTAATGTGTTAAGATATTGGTCCTTTGTGCAAATCGACAGTCTGGTGAAACAATAATCCAGATGCCAATTTTTTGTTTTGCTTTGTTTTGTGGGGATTCAGTAATGGACGGATTCAATTAAGTTGTTAAGTGTGGAGCAAGGTCCACTTGCACGGCAGGCCTTGCCCCCTATTCCTCCTGCCTCTCCTAAATGTACTCTGGGGGTGGGGGAGACCCAGAAAAGGTTTAAGGAGTGCACAGGGAAGTTGCATTGTGCAAGTGGACCTCGTTTCATACATGCAATACCCCTCTTAGCGCTACGTTGAATTCCACCCAATGAACTTCAGATTTATTTATTACTGGTCTGATAGGCTTTTATTTTTCTCCTTTGAATTCCGCAGGCGAGGAAGGCTGTGATGATGGTGTTTTTTTCACATCTTCCTTTCTCCCTGATCTGCCACATTCTTGTCACTTTGGCACTCAATGCGACAGTTTTCTTGATTGCCATGTATGTGCCTGACATCAGACACCTTTTTGGAGTGGTTGGTAAGTTTGTGTGCTTTCATCTTCCCCAATCCTATATTCTAAAAAAATCTGCACGCAAGCCTCGCCGTGACTAAATAACACCCCCCCGTCATCTTTTTAAAGGCTCAACCACATCCACCTGCTTGCTTTTGTGTACCCTGGGCTGTTTTATCTGAAGATTAGCACAGAGGATTTTATATCGAGACAGAAGCTTGGGGTAAGATGCCAACCTAAGTTCTTTGTTTTGGAATGCTAATGTGGAAGGTACTTAAAGCAGTCGCTAAAGCTCATGGCCCTCTCTGACTTGTGCCATTTCAAGGAGTTTAGGATCATAACGCTGAAAGGCTCCCCCCCCCCAACCAATAGCAGATCATATGCAGTTATGTCTAGCCATTACTGCCTTGGAGGTCACTGCAGCCTTATCCAGTTGAAAGGGCAAATTCTTTGGTGTAATTGTTTCCTAACCCAGTTTTCGTGAATAGATGTCTTATTCTCAGTGATGTCTGCATACCAAGGAGAGGTTCTTATCCTGTTTGTTTCGATTTAAACCATTTAAAAACCTCTATCACCTAAGAGGTAAAACGATTTTCTGTCCACCACTCTGTATGTGTAGCAGAAGAGTAAACTGGTTTCTCCCGTTTAGGATTAAACCGTTTGTGTGATTTTCTTCACAGGCATGTGCACTGCTAGTTCTCGGACTCTTGTTTGGTATTGTCAGTTTAGTACTGATCATTTATGATTGGATTCATCAGTGAAATAATCCCTGCCACCTTTGCAGCAGCCCAAATGATCATTTCCGGCTACGTCTAAAGGAAAATCACTCAATTGGATGCCAGAAAGAGACTGCCTGGAGATTTGAAAACCACCAGAAACCAAACTCCCAACCAATTACCTCTTCATTCACCAAAGCAGCCTTTGTGATCCTGCAAACTTATGCTGGAGCTAGAGAAGATGGAGGATTTCCACAGTTCTTCCTCTCTCCCATTTTTTATTTTTATTCCTGCATGCAGTAGCTAATGAAATCAAGCGAGGAAACTCGGAGCACAATGACATTGTGCTAACAATGCCTAGATCTGATCTTAGGCACATAATGGGACCTAGTGGAGATTGCAGCGTGTGAAGATCATTTGTGAATTGCTCCTTGCCGATTAGTGAATAATCATGTGTCTCGTGTCAGAATGTGGAATCGTTATGGCTAAAATCCAGCAAGACAGGTGGTCTTCTCAGAACGCTGGTTGAAAATTGCTGAAATCTTTCTACACCTGTTACTGTCAGTTTCACAGAAACAGCTTGCAAACCCTCTGCAGCCTTCTTCAGAGTGCTTAGATTTGCAGATCGAAACCAGGCCCGGTCTTAAGTTGATTAAAGCCTGCCCATATGAGACAATTTGCAGTTCAACAGAGGAGTAAAATATGGTGGTGAAATTACTCTGCCTTGCCAACGTGTCCTGACTTCATAACTGAACTGTAAAATATGTATCGTTTTATACTTCAGTGCATTAATGATTAAAGTTCCCATTTTATGAATCATCCTTAATGTCAGTACAGACCTAATTCAAGCCATATGTATTAAATTGACATGGTACAGTCCCTGTCATACGTCTTATGGCACTTCAAATTCACATATAACTAGGTTTGGGGGGTACCTCTAGTTTCTCTAGTCTAGTTTCCCTGCTTTTGAAATGTTACATATGAAGGAGAAAATGTTACATATGAAGGAGAAATGTTACATATGAAGGAGAACCTCTAGTTTTGCCCTGCTTTGAAAATGTTACACAACAAGAGAGGTGTTCGGGATTGGGGTGGTGGAGAAGAAAGCAGGTTAGAAGCTTTCTGGAGCAGAGAAGAGCAACTAAGATGATCAAGGGTCTGGAAACCAAGCCTTATGAGGAATGGTCAAAGGAGCTGGGTATGTTTAGCCTGGAAAAGAGAAGTTGGAGATGAGATAGGATAATCATCTTCCAACTATCTGAAGGGCTGTCACCTGGAAATAATAATAATATAATAATAATAATAATAATAATAATAATTAATAATAATATATTATTTATACCCTGCCCATCTGGACTGGTTTCCCCAGCCACTCTGGGCGGCTTCCAACCAAATATTAAAAACAATACAGCGCCAGACATTAAAAACTTCCTAAACAGGGCCACCTTCAGTTGTCTTTTAAAAGTAAAATACAGTGGTACCTCAGGTTACATACGCTTCAGGTTACATATGCTTCCAGGTTACAGGCTCTGCTAACCCAGAAATATTACCTCGGGTTAAGAACTTTGCTTCAGAAATCGTGCAGCGGTGACACAGCAGCAGCAGGAGGCCCATTAGCGAAAGTGGTGCTTCAGGTTAAGAACAGTTTCAGGTTAAGAACGGACCTCCGGAACGAATTAAGTACTTAACCCGAGGTACCACTGTAGTTGTTTATTGCCTTCACATCTGCTGGGAGGGCGTACCACAAGGCAGGCGCCACCACTGAGAAGGCCCTCTGCCTGGTTCCCTGTAACCTCACTTCTTGCAGTGAGGGAACCGCCAGAAGGCCCTCGGCCCTGGACCTTAGTCCAGGCTGGATGATGGGGGTGGAGACACTCCTTCAGATACACTGGACTGTATGGAGCAAGCTTGTTTTTTCCTGCTCTGGAGGGAGGTAGTTGGCTTCAAGTTCAAGAAAGGAGATTCCCACTAAACACCAGGAAAAACTTATTGACAGTAAGAGCTGTTCGTCAGTGGAATGGACTTCCTCGGGAGGTTGTAGACTCTCCTTCCTTGGAGATTTTTAAGTAGAGGTTGAACGGGCATTTAAATGACACCTGGGGTCATTTCCAGCTTGTATGATTCTGTATGAAGGGGTGTCTTTCTATGGGAGCACTTTCAAGCAAGACAATTAGACAGTATCTAGAAGATCAGCCAGCTTGAATTGGTGCAGGCTAGATCTTTTGGGAGCTGCGATCCGAAACATTTAGAGGACACCAGTTTCGGGGAGGCTGGTCTGTTCCAAAACTAGGACTGCATCGCTTCAAAACCTTCCAAGTTTGATTTGGTCCAAGCACTGCATTCATTGAAGTTTAGAAAACTAGGAACTAGGAACATAGAAAGCTGCCTTATGCTGAGTCAGATCATCTAGCTCAGTAGAGTCTACACTGACTGGCAGCAGCTCTCCAGAGTTTTGGGACAGGAGTTTTGTCTCAGCTGTATCTGGAGATGCCAGGGATTGAACTGGCATGCAAAATGGATGCTCTGCCACTGAGTCCCTTCCCTTAATTTACGTGGTTGAAATTGTATAGCCCAAAATGGAATATGTATTTTGAGTCAGTTTTAAAGAAGAGAACAGAAGGAACTGTGTAAAGGGAGAATTGGGTGCCATTGGAGAAAGCAATGTGGTGGCTGGGAGAAGATTTTATTAAAAGAGGCTGAGCAGCTACCCTGAACCTCAAAGCAAAACAAAGGGGAAAGAATCGCCCAAGAATTACCTGTATTTTTCGCTCCATAGGGTGCACCAGACCATAGGGTGCACCTAGTTTTTAGAGGGGGAAATCAAGAAAAAAAATCCTATCCCCCCCCAGCCCCAAAGAGCAGCGTACAGGCTGCGCGCAACCTCTCCCTGCCGGAGGGGTTGCGCGCGGCTATGGCACAAGCCAGACAGCGAGCAGGATCCCGCTCGCTGCCTTGGCTTGTGCCATAGCCGCGTGCAACCCCTCCGGCAGGGAGAGGCTGCGTGCGGCTAAAGAAGCCATACCCACGTGCAGCTTCTCCCTGCCGGAGGGGATGTGCGCGGCTATCCCTGAAGACTTCGAGCGCAGCGCAAGTTCCGGCTGCGCTCCTCAGGCTTCGGGTTCCTTTTGCTGAAGCCGGGAGAGCAAGACTTTCCTGGCTTCAGCGAAAGGAACCTGAAGCCTCCAGAATGCAGCGGGAACTTGCGCTGCGCTCCGAAAGCCTTCAGGCGGCTATCCCTGAAGCCTGGAGAGCGAGAGGGGTCAGTGCGCAACGACCCCTCTCGCTCTCCAGGCTTCAGGGAAAGCAACGCGAAGCCTCCGGAGCACGGAGGAAGCGTTCCCTCTGCGCTTCAGAGGCTTCGCGTTGCTGTCGCTGAAGCCAAGGAGCCTGCATTCGCTCCATAGGACGCACACACATTTCCCCTCAATTTTTGGAGGGGGAAAAGTGCGTCCTATAGAGCGAAAAATACAGTAGTGTTCCTAATACTTTTATTCATTAAGATATTTATATTCCTCCTTTTGTGCCAAAGGGCCTTCATGGTGGGTAACAAAAAGAAATGCAGCAATTGAAGACAGCAAACTTAAAAAAATTAAGCAGCCACCATCAAATAAGCAGCAAAGCCAAAATCCCAAGAGGGAGCTGAAGGGTAGCCTAATGACGAATGGAAAAAAGTCTACTCCACAGTCAGAAGGCTTAAAAAGACTTGGGGAAAATATACAGCCTGCCCCCCGCTCCTAGAAAGCTAGCAGCGAAAGGGCAGGCTGCACTTCCCCAGGGAGAGAGTTCAGGACCACAGTAGAAAAGGCAATGTCACAAGAGATCCTACACCGGAACAGAGGGTGGAAGCAGTACTTGGAATTTAATCGGGGAGCGCGCTCAAAGCTATTCATATACATGATCTCAGTAATCCTTACAGCAATTCTGTAGGTCAGAAGTATTGTCCTGCCGCTGCTCATACCTGCATGAAATGAATGTGGTGGGCACCAAAATATTGTGGCCAGTATTGGATAAAATTGGTATTGTTTATGATGAGGCTGCTATGGGAATGATATTGGAAAATCACACACACACACATATATATACAGTGGGACCTCAGGTTAAGTACTTAATTCGTTCCGGAGGTCCGTTCTTAACCTGAAACTGTTCTTAACCTGAAGCACCACTTTAGCTAATGGGGCCTCGTCCTGCTGCTGCGCCGCCGGAGCACGATTTCTGTTCTCCTCCTGAAGCAAAGTTCTTAACCTGAAGCACTATTTCTGGGTTAGCGGAGTCTGTAACCTGAAGCGTATGTAACCTGAGGTACCACTGTGTGTGTGTGTGTGTGTGTGTGTGTGTGTGGTGTGCCAGAGTGTTCCAGAGGGCAGGAGAATATTGCCTCTTATTTTGAGTTCTGAAAAGCATTAATTAACAATGTCACAAACGTGGGAAAACTATCTTGATTTGTAAACACCACTTCTATTGTGTTTATGCCAAGGGGGGAACCTCCAGATTAGCTATGCTGCGAACACTTCTGGGCAAAGCCAATATTATTCGTGGAGTAGAAACAACAACATTTTCCCCTCTCTCCCCCGAAATCATCCCAAGGGATGGTTTGTATTTTAAACCGAGAGAGCCTTTCATCTCTCTTGAAAATCGTATGCTCAAAGGAAGCGAGTTTCTCCAGAAAATAGGAGCTTAACATGAAATTATGACATTAAACCTTATACTGGAATGGCAAGAATTCAGAGTGCGGAGTTCCTCATTATTTCCAGATGGATGGAAGGAGTTTAATTTTGGCTGAGAGCTTACAAAAGCATCTCTGCCTCCGGAGCACTCCTGCCTGCGTGCTGGAACTTCCTGCCAAAAGCACAAAAAAACCCCTCGATGCCCCAAGGTCTGCTGTGAGATTTCTCCATTCCAAGTTGGACGACCTTTTGCTTCCCTTACAGGACTTGCACTGTCTGTCAATAGGTGTGCCTCTCCTTCAGAACTTGGCATGCGCAAGATCTAGCCATGGGCTGAAAGCACTTTTAAAATAGCCTGGAGATCTGCCTCTGGTTTGGCAGCCTAGATGGAAGCCAGCACTTCAGACCGACAGCGGCTCTCGTTCTCCCCCTGCCTCCACTATTCCTGTTCACAAAAACGAACATTAACATTGTCAATAAAAGACAGGTGTTCAAAACCAAACTATAATTAAAATCAACAGTGAGCTAAAAACATTCAAATTACATGTCAACTCCTACATGTCTGGATAAGGCTGGCCTGAACAGAAACATTTTTAGCAGCTGTCAGAAACAGTACATGCGATGGCAAATGGCTGGTGTCACTAGGCAAGGAGTTCCAAAGTTCCAAACCGATTTAAAGTTTCATTGCAACCAGGCAGTATGTGCTTTGTTTTCTCACATAAAGATAAAGGGACCTCTGACCATTAGGTCCAGTCGTGGCCGACTCTGGGGTTGCGGTGCTCATCTCGCTTTATTGGCCGAGGGAGCCGGCGTACAGCTTCCGGGTCATGTGGCCAGCATGACTAAGCCGCTTCTGGAGAACCAGAGCAGTGCATAGAAACGGCGTTTACCTTCCCGCCAGAGCGGTACCTATTTATCTACTTGCACTTTGACGTGCTTTCAAACTGCTAGGTTGGCAGGAGCAGGGACCGAGCAACGGGAGCTCACCTCGTTGCGGGGATTCGAACTGCCGACCTTCTGATCGGCAAGCCCTAGGCTCTGTGGTTTAACCCACAGTGCCACCCGCGTCCTGTTTTCTCGCATACACGCCCTATAAAAAAAGATTCTTCACTGATGTGGAAGCCAACTCACATGCGCTAGAATAAAACATAGTCTTAAGCGCTCACTTCGTAGCCTTGACAAGTGGTCTTCATCACCCCTTCCTTTCCCAGGATCTCTTAATTCTCCAGATTCACAGGCTTAGCTCTGCAGTTATTCTCAGCTGTCTTGGTCTGTACGATGAAATTCCTAAATAGATAACAGATGGCAAAAACGCACCTTGTGCAAAAAGTGAAGACAGCTGTAAATCAATGATTACTTGTTGCCTTATCCCCCAGGGCCTGATGAGGCATCCCTCTTTTTTCTGAGGTCCCTGGAAATTTTCCTTCTGTGCTTCCCCCCTTTCCAAAAAAGGATCAGATCTGTCAACATTGTTCGTTCGTAACGTCTTGGAAAGAGGAGCTGAACTGTAGAACAGTCTTGAAATTCAGAGTGCATGAAGCTTGGCTAGAAGCACATGACAGGGTTCCTTCTGATACTGGCGTGAGCTCTCAAGGATTGATCAGACAGTTCGTGAGACCCTAAAAGTTAATACAGTGGTACCTCATATTAAGAACTTAATTCGTTCTGGAGGTCCGTTCTTAACCTGAGGTACCACTTTAGCTAATGGGGCCTCCCGCTGCCACCGCACGATTTCTGATCTCATCCTGAAGCAAAGTTCTTAACCCAAGGTAATATTTCTGGGTTAGTGGAGTCTAACCTGAAGCGTATGTAACCCGAGGTACCACTGTACAGAAACCAGAGAAAATGCAGTTTGTTAACTTCATTTGCACCCAATGTAGGATGTGCCAGGGCTTAGCAAAATATTCTTGACTAGCAGAAGAAGAACACAACCCACTACTCCAGGGGTGAAGAATTTGAGGTCCTCTAGATCAGTGTTCCCCAACCTTGGGCCTCCAGCTGTTTTTGGACTACAATTCCCATCATCCTTGACCACTGGTCTTGCTAGCGAGGGATGATGGGAGTTGTAGTCCAAAAATAGCTGGAGGCCCAAGGTTGGGGAACACTGCTCTAGATGATGTTGTGAGGGACGCGGGTGGTGCTGTGGGTTAAACCACAGAGCCTAGGACTTGCCGATCAGAAGGTTGGTAGTTCAAATCCCCGCGATGGGGTGAGCTGCTGTTGCTCAGTCCCTGCTCCTGCCAACCTAGCAGTTCGAAAGCACGTCAAAGTGCAAGTAGATAAATAGGTACCACTCCGGCGGGAAGGTAAACGGCGTTTCCGTGTGCTGCTCTGGTTCACCAGAAGCAGCTTAGTCATTCTGGCCACATGACCCAGAAGCTGTACACCGGCTCCCTCGGCCAATAAAGCGAGATGAGCACTGCAACCCCAGAGTCGGCCACGACTGGACCTAATGGTCTGGGGTCCCTTTACCTTTTTAGATGATGTACTCCTGACTCCTATTGACTTGCATTGCTCTTCCTGCATTTTAGGGAAGTTGGACCAGATGACTCTTCAATCCCATGATTCTATGATTCAGTGCTCGACCATTGGCAGTGCTATGGATTTTATAGAACTTGGGTGGCATCCAACTAATGTGTCCTGTTAGAGGAAAGATATACACATGCACGTGGACTTCCCCCACCCACCCCCTTCCCCCACCCACCCCACCTCTTCTTCCTCTGTGTACCCGCTAAATATGATCCGGGGTTCCCTAACCCTTTAGAGCAGATTTTGGAAGGGCGTGGGACATGCATGGATAGAGGAGAGGGATGGAAAGCTCTGTTGCGCCGGTGTTAATCCTTGCACTGATGGGATGTGTTAGCTGGATGCCACCCCTATAGTCTCAGTAGGACTGTAGATCTTTAAAATCTAGAGATAAAGCTGGAGATTTCCAGTCCCAATAGGACCAAGACTCGCTGGTCAGATTCCAGCACGCTTTGCCAGCTCACTATTCTATGACTGTCAGCTGATATTAATACAACCAGTATTATGCTATGTGCTGTTGTTCTTTGTGGGGGAGGGGAGATATATATATATATATAATGGATAGACACAGCTGCCTGCATTTTTCGATTCTCCTTGGGGAATGTGGCTATGCACCCTCTTTTTTTCCGGAGGTGCTGACACTCTGAGCTTCAAAATTTTGCTGCTGTCACACCACTGTTTTTGTTGGCTGCGTAACTCTTGGCTATCAAGATGTGAAGCTTCCCTGGCATAGAGATCCAACGATGGGAAAAAGCTTAACCTGCTGTTTTCTGCCTCTTACGCAGCTGTTGGAAGATTGAAATAGACCTGCCAGGGAAGAAACGAAGAAAACCTCTTATGGCCTGAAGGCACTTTATGCCAAAGCCTTATTCCTGCTAAGCAGGTCTTGGTCTGGTCAGTGACTGGATGCAAGACCACTGGGTTTACACAGCTTTGGATTCTGTGATGGAAGAAAGGTGGGGTATAAATGTCAGAAGATAAAGAACCATAAGCGCTTTATCAAAGCTCCCTCAGTTTCTATATTTTTCCATTCCCCCCACCCAATATTCAATTCTTTACAATCCCACACCAGTTTTCATTTTTTATAGAAGCAAATACTAATGAAAAACCAGCAGCATTTTGGTGCAAATTTATCCTAAAGCACACATCTTTGTGTGCATTTTCCCCCAATATACAGTGGTGCCTCGCAAGACGAAAAGAATCCGTTCTGTGATTCTCTTCGTCTAGCGGTTTTTTCGTCTTGCGAAGCAACCCTATTAGCGGCTAAGCGGATTAGCGCTATTAGCGGCTTAGCGGCTTAGCGGCTATTAAAGGATTAGCGGCTAAGCTGCTAAAAGGCTATTAGCGGCTTAGCGGCTTAGAAAAAGGGGGGGAGCGGAAAAAAAATCGCAAGACTAGCAAGACGTTTTGTCTTGCGAAGCAAGCCCATAGGGAAAATCGTCTTGCGAAGCAACTCAGAAACGGAAAACCCTTTCGTCTAGCGGGTTTTCCGTCTTGCGAGGCATTCGTCTTGCGGGGCACCACTGTACACATTTCCTGGAAGCAGTTTCCCCTTACCGAATACATTTTTGTATGCTATTTCCTCGGATAGATGCATTTTTATGCATACTACGTCACCCCAGTATACAGCTCGTTGTACGCATTACCTGACTGGTGAACGGTGCTGCAAAATTCTGGGAAGTGAGAATTTCAAAGGATGGCTGCATTTCAGTTCAACTAGGTTTGCTTAGAAACGCAAACAGAGCCAAATTTCTCTCCCATCACTACATGAAATAAAATGTACTAATTTGGTTGCATTTAGGATTTGTCTGTGGTCCCCATTTTCCCCTGGACTGGCTCCTGCACCTTTAAAAGAAGGAGTAATTGGAAGTAATATGGTGCTGGAGGAGACTCTTGAGAGTCCCATGGACTGCAAGAAGATCAAACCTATCCATTCTGAAGGAAATCAGCCCTGAGTTCTCACTGGAAGGACGGATCCTGAAGCTGAGGCTCCTGGCCACCTCATGAGAAGAGAAGACTCCCTGGAAAAGACCCTGATGTTGGGAAAGATGGAGGGCACAAGGAGAAGGGGACGACAGAGGACG